CATAAGGATTTCACGTACGGCAAGATAAAATTATTTTTAACACAAAATATCCAGTCAGACAAAGAGGAAGATTATTTCCTCATTAAAAAAACACAAGTAAAGAAGATAATAGTACCTAATTTCCCTTATTGTCTGCGTGCTTTTCGAGAAATATGATACAACACGATTTATTAGATTAAACTTACCGACATTGTGCGCAATTCCCGAAGCATCTCGTCTGAGTTAGTAATCAACGTGTGTATTTAAGGCTCCTGGGGGTACTCGCTGCGACCATGTTAGATCGTGACGTTAGAGGCGAAAATTGACATGCTGAGAATTCTTGCGTGCCATTTCCAAATAAAAAAAATATTTGCAAAAAATAACACTTCAAATTATTTCAGCACACTTCAAAAATACTCCGAGGTCTATCCCTTTCCCTTGACAGTTAATAAACAGCCGTAAAATCAATGTAATACAAAGTCTAGTCGTAACCTTGCGCACAAGTTTACATGACTAGACTTCGTATTACATTCAGTAATATAATGTAATATAAAGCTGAAAGAGAACTTTTATTAGACTGAAGCAATGATGACATTCAATTGTAGATTATTTCATAAGTGTCTCTGTTCATATGGTCTCTGCATTGCATTGGTGCAACATGCAATTTACCTGGATTTAACAAATTAGAGCGTCTTCTGCTTGATTTAATATTTTTGTACTACGTTAAGATTAGTACAAGTCGTGTGAGATTTGAAGAGCTACACGATATATATGTGCAAAGGACTTTAACAAGATTTACTCTGTAATATACAATTCTGAGAACTTTCCTGGGTGACCAATAAATCCTTACTCTTCTTAAATAAGTCCTCAGACTTCCTGAAATAATGTTGAAGACGTTGCATATATTTTTACAAATACTTTATTAAACATTGCAAAGTGTGGTACATGGTATCACAACGTTGTTATATTCATTGCATGTATACGTTACGATTACACATTATACATCGGATTCACGAACACGAATATCTATACAGAGGAGTACAATACGTTCGTTCTTACATTGCAATTTCGCTCGCTATAACGCAAGATCATTACAACTCTTGTCTTAGAACAGTTCTCTTCGCGAATACCATGCCTATTTCAAGGAATCAACTTGCAAATTAGCACACGTTTGATAAATACAATGCTATTTAAAGATCCTCCCGAACTAAGGATTCACCCTCCTAATATCTACACCCTACGTCTGCAAAACAGTTTTATTAAATCTTCACAGCCAACGACTAAATTAAAAGTCCTCCCGCATCTTCGCGCCATATTCGTATTCTTATTTAAGAATTATAACTTATAACTGGTACAAGTTTTTTGGGGAGGAGCGCAGATTTAACTTTACTTCTACCACGACCGAAGAATTCGCGTAACAATACCAGCGCGCGAAAGCCGATAAATATATTCCCTCCTCGAAAGTACAAGTCAAAAATTGAAAAATCCTCTTAAATCCGTCTTGTACGTTGTCGCGTTGTAATTTTACATGTAAGATTTACGTAAATAAAGCTTGCGGTCGCCTTCTGTTGCTACTATTAAAAAATCATGACAATTACATAGGTATTGTAATACGTAATTTTTATATATTGTAACATTTAAAAATTATGGCAATTATTAAAAAGGAAAATCATATATAAATTTCTGAAGCAGACAACAGTTTTCGGTGATGAAGGAATTCATACGATTTCTCGCCTTTGGCGTGACAATTTCATATGATTGCAGCGAGGCAACAGGAGTCTTACAACTGTTACAATGTAAACAATAATACGGAGTGCCCCGCACTTCGTGTAAGTAGTAGCTAAGTTTTGTACATAACGGCAAAGTCAATTCGCCGACTGCTGTAAATATCTAAATTAAGTAATTTCACAAGAAAGATTCGATTACGCAGTACGGCTTTATGCGCCGTCAAATCAAAGGCGGAATACCTTCAAATACAATAGATTCGCGCGACGCGATACATAAATCAATTTATATTAATCTGTCCCAGATGCCAAGTCGATATATAAATCTTACTGCGTGCCTCTGACTAATTCTAAACTGATTCGGTTTCATCATACGCATGTCTATTAAATACATATCGATTCTTGTGCTAATAATCATTATTTCGCCAACATATTAGATACAATTTTCGCATTTCGTAATTACTCTATGTAAGTAGCACACAATCTGTAACAAGTTAATATCTCACTACTTTAAACTTCTAACAAATTTTTAATGGTGGCATTTAATGGTAAAAAAATATATTATTTACATATTAGATACTATATTACGTAAGAAAAACAAAGATATATATATATTTTTTTAATATAATCATACAATTGGCGAGTAAATAATGCATTTTCCATTAAGCCACCGCTAAGAATCTGGCAGATGTTTCGAATAATTATATAACAATAATCACTATTATAATATAATAAGATATCAAGGTATAACAGATCGTGCGACTCACTCTGTACATATCATGACTTTCATCACATTGAGAATACTATAATTATTATATAATTATATATGTATATATATTATATAAACCTAGCGAAACCGATAAATGTGTAAATCTGTCCCGACTAAATGTATTCTTCGTCTTCTTTGTTTTATATCTATTAAAAATTGCATAGGAAGCACCGGTTTCTCAAAAGCCCTACAACAATAAACAAGATTGAGATTCTTAGAGTACCATGTCGCGAGTTTCCGGCGTCGGTTGCGATGTACAATCGCTTAAAAAGACTCGTCATCAAAATCGGCAGCACGTTATGATATCAGATATTATCAGTTGATCCTGATTTTTGCAATTAATACGGTCTTTGATAATCCGTTGACTATGTGAAAAATTTCTGAAATAATTTAGAATATTATTAATTTACAATGGTGATAAACGATAGATATGTACAATCTAAAATCACTATGCGACCGATTTTGAACTAACAACCGGACAGGAATCGAGGGTGAGCGAGCGAGGTGAAAACGAAACGGTCAATCGGCTATATAGAAAGATTTTACAAGTGTCTACCGACCAGACCAGGCAGGGCGACTCGTGTGTGCAGCGGTAGTGGTCCCGGACTAACTTCTCCCATCATCATCACGGTCCCCAACTGTCCCACAAAGTATTAAACACACATCAAGGATCGACTTCAGAACCATATATCCTCTCACATGTATGCCGTTTGACGTTAATCAATTACATTCAATCGGTGCGTCAGAGAATTTTTACGTATCGCGTACACATACTGAGATTGTAACGTTATTTACAAAAACCGGTCCGGTTGATTATGTCATCGTCGTCATCGAGATAGACCTGAAATCTAAACTTCGAATCGAAACTCGACTTCAAAGTGAGTCTAACTCGCGAGACTAGAAAATAAAACTTCTCTAACTCTATTTACAAAAATCTGCAAGGTACACGCTAATTTGTCAGCAGAAAGCACATTATACTCCAATTTCGATTTTCTATTTTGTATATATGTAATTTACTTGGAATTTACTATTTTTTATAATCTGCTGTATAATATAATATTGTATATTTTTATTAAAAAAAAAAAAAAAAATGACAACAATAAAACCAAACAAAGATCATGGTTTCGTTGTCTAAAGTATCATGCCTAGAAACTATGTTGTGTCTGCAATATTGACTTTGTTATCAAATCATAAGTAATAGCAGTTATATGTTGATACGGACATAAGTGTATGAGCCTGTAATATACCGCCAGAGAGATATCTTAACGAGACTTAAAGGAATTAAGTGTCCAATAAAAACTCCTCGATAACGTTAATTTCTAAAATTAGTAACGATTCAGGAAATATATCTACACTTAGCTAACGCTTAACAATTCCAGACTTAAACGTATATTCGTGGACAGATCACCGACAACAATTACAAAATTATATATAATATCGGGTCGATAAAATAAATCTTAAGACGCCAAAAATATCATGTTCACAACTGCGATCTACGTGCAGAGCTCCTGACGCTCGTCTGTGAATAAATAATATAAAAATATACAACTAAAAACAGAAAAACAATGTAAAGTAAGTAGAGAGGTACGTGTGAAATAGTACATTGCGGCATGCAGATATTAGACGGATAAGTATGTCGGCAGCGCGATCATTACGAGATGATTAATCCCAGAGATCTTTCCGCATTAAAAAGTTGACTGCATGCAAAAAAATGTTCGTAGATTACAGGGGACGAAAAAAGTATCCGCACGCCCCATTCTTTTGACGGTCTTACGCAAAGAATAAGATTAATGTTACGCTATTACAAACGAAAACTATCTATCCCAATCTATCCTGTTAAGAATATTCGCGCAAAGTCATTCCAGAAAATACGAGACGTGTGAATACTTCTTTTTCACTTGTGTCAGCTTACAAATGAATAGTAACTTTTCACCGAGCGTGAACAAGTTTCGCGGAGGCAGGATTAAAAGATCACAGCAGCAACAGAGCCTTCAATGTTTTTTCTGTTTTTACATTGCCAATCGCAATCAATTGTCGCGTAATTAGAATTAATGGATACAGAAAATTATGTTTAATGCTCGATAATTTGAACGTCGCGAAAAGTTTGGCAAATGTTCCAGTGTTCAGAAAAGGAAGAATTCGGGAACGTTTGCTCACGATATTCGCACGTTAAAACTAAATTCCGAGAAATGTCTTGTTGAGATAAAAAAAAAAACGTTTTTTATTCAGTTCAAGTATTACATACTCACCAAGCCCCGAATTTCCTCTTCTTCTAACACTCTTTATCTATAGATAAAATGTTTACAACTCGAAAAAAATAACAAAGCGGCATATCACGATCTCCACTCCCTACATTAACGCTAGTCGTACATGTTAATACTTTCAGAAAAATCACCGCGCGATATGACCTACTCGTAATTGTTCAAAGAGAAGAATCTGTCTTTTGCTGCACCGATCTTAGGTACACATGGACATGGATAGTTCGTCGATCGTTTTCCCGGCTATAACGTTCGTAACGGAATGAATCCTCCCATTCCGATGATTCTGAGGTCTTCGTCATTGGAATCGGAATCATCATCATCATCATCACTGTCATCATCATCGTTTCTTTCTCTCTAGAAAAACCGATGAAAAAAAAAAAGATACGGTCAAACGTGCGCTCTGCAAATATCTGACTGTGATTTTTTTTCCCTGAAGAGAAGAAAGACAAGACACAAGCGCAAAAATAGGCCGAAGAGAAGTTCGTCCTCTGTACATTAAACATAATTTTCGAGTTTATAAATAAAAAATTTCCACCATTATGCAATACGAAATATCACACGCTATTGTCCATTCATTAGTTCTCGTTATGTGTCTATCGTAGGCAATCATTGACTAGAATAATTATCTGCTTTACAGTTATAAAATCACCTCGACAGAAAAGAATACACAGTTACGAGGAGTCATTCGCACACAACGGCGATTGGCTCGTTAACATCTTACCATTTGTCAATTTATGCACTATATTAGTATAAGATTGGGCAGAGCAGAAAAAAGTCGGTTTGCATTAACAAACAGCATACGTACATTTTTCCCCTTATTCTTAAGCAAGCAGGTTTGTTAAAAATTCACGGTGTATTTACAGTTGCTATTGTCGTTTTTGAAATTGAGACACTGAGTGCGATAGCAGTATAAAGCTTAAGACTTTACTATTTAATTGGTGACAAGTCATCATTACAATTACTATATATTATACACTAAATTATTTGATTGTAGACCTGATTTTTCTCCATCTTTTAAAATTAGATTTCAAACTTTTAAACTCATTCCCCCCCGCCCCCTAAAAATACCGTTTTTCGAAATATGCTGCTATTGCACTCGAATTCTCGATTAAAACCTTTGCGACCTCCTGTCGCTGTTGCCATTTCACTCGAAAGATCAACTTGGAAATCGAAAAGAAGAGAAATTACATCGTCCAGATAAAATTAATTTTACGTGCAATATAGACATTCAAGCTCGTGTTTTATATAGAAGAACGAAAAAAAGAAGAGGCGATTATATTATGTCAAATATGAAGTGACGTTCACGCGATTACATCTTACGTATTGTCTGTATTGCTCATACATACAGCATAGAGAACATGCGTAGAAATGTACAGTGTATGTACATACACACACGTAGCCGCAGGCTATTGTTGTTTACACTCATAATCAGAGTTGGCGCCACTAATCATTGCGTGTGTAAACCGGCCTTAAGAATTTAAAAAAGAAACGAAATATAAAATTCAATCGTCAAAGATATCACCTTCGTGTAAAAACAAAAGACGTGAAATCTTTGGCGAAATCAAATATGACTATAATAAACGAATGCGAATGCATATAAGTTACGTAAGAGTTAATTAAATAAATTATAATTCCGCGTTTAACGCGTTCGAAATATGCATATTCGATACTTTCAATCTCCCTCTTTCCCTTCCTTCTGTTTAAAAAGATTTAGATACACAAAAGGTGGTGATGTTAGGATTGCTGTTAGTTCTACCTTCTGTGTAAATTGAGAATTACATAGGGCTCGTCCGGATTAGTGCTGACGTCTGTGGTGCTGTTGTTAGGCTGATAGCACGGGTTAACAGTGTAATTGAGATTAGGCTGATGGAAACTCACCGGCTGAACACTGGTCCTGCGTCGCTCCATCTCGCGATCTTCCAAGCAGAAGTCCGAATCCGAATCGACTTTTCTTGCAACCTCATCCTGTCGAAATGTAATGTCATTAAAAATATTACAAAATTATTTTAATTCATAATTATATTCTATCATATTCAAACAATATATAATATAATATAACAGACGTTATATAAAATATTATAGCTGGTATAAAATGAGCTTTTCAGTGTACAATGAATTTAGGCACTGTACCTGCGTCATCTGTTGCGTGGTCGTGAGGATTCTCGCTAGCGGACTACAACAGACCGGCAACGTTTCCAATAACGTAGGCCTGGAGTGCGTTAACAAGGGCTTCATATATTTGGTATCGAAATCGCCCCAAATTCTGGCGAGCAACGCCTTCTCGTTAGGCTTTGTGCCACCGATACCACCGCTGCCACTGCCGCCGCCTGGCAACGATCCGTCCTGCATAGAATTATACTGTAAAATGTGAACAAAGCATCAGTTATCCATCCTGTATGATTCTGCGAGCTTTCCATCTTTAATCTTTAAACAAAAGTAGGCCCCTCTCCCCCCTCTATTAGTCATATAAACATATATTTATTAACACATTAAAATAAGATTCAAATAGGTGTACATTATTTTTAATTCTTCCCTTTAAGCAGAAAAGTATATAACAACGTTAACAGCAATATATTAATGACAGACCTTTTTAGATGTTTGGAGTTATTTTCGTTATTAGTTATAAAAAATGCATCCTTACTTATTGATCGTAATTCTGGTGTTCCGTATTTTAAACATGTCTGTGTGTGTAAGTACTGTTAATAAATGTAAGTATCTCAGTGTTCTCCAACTATTCTTCAACATACAGAATGGATAACAAAAACCATACTAAAAAAAATAACCAGAAGCACAGTGCAGTCAAATTCAATTAAAAGCCTTAATGAAATAAATCTACAACTTGCATATAGACAGAGAAATCATATAAATCATATAATAGATCTGCATTCACATGGTACAACAATAACAAGGAAAAAAAATCACTTTTATTTCAATACAGATATTAAGCAACACTTGGTGCATGCAGCTACTTTTATAAGAATTGTATGGTATAATCATGATGCGTGAGCTATATATTCATATACATATGTATATTAATGTCTCATTATTTGTGTGTGAAGAATAAATCGATCTGAGTCATCAAAATAAAAAAAAAATCAAGTTATCTAAACTCTCAATTTGTTAAACAGGAAGACGGTGCGTCAAGTCAATCTTTAATTGTGATAACATACCGGCGGACTTCTTCCCCTACGCATGTCCAGATCACCGTAGCCACCCTCGCCGCCAGACTATTAACATTGATAAATTAATTGTCTTGTAAATCGCAGCACTCGTGCACGCGTTCTCTTAACCGCGAATCTTTATAATTCACTGTCGAATGTTACAAGGTAACAAACATGCATGCTAGTTCAGAAATGCGGGAATCAAACATAATTTCGGTAGAGCAATTTCGTATGAGTGATAGTCGTGATTCGAAAATTGTAAAACATTTCACAGAACACAAAGCGTATACTTTTAACTACCAGAGAGAAAACATTTTCATACATCTGTAGCTATATACCATCGGAAAATTGAGCTCACTGACATTGTACCGGTCTTGATACAACTGATATAGCATTGTCTTTCTGAATCTGTGATACTCTGATACTACTTTTCCGACACTAAAAGAAAAGAAAATCAATGGGAGCGTGGCAAAATAAAACTCTCCAAGCTCTAATTTTACAATTAACGAGGAGATTCGGCTGATCGGTACGCACCCCGACAGTATCCAATGAATTGTACACCTAGATAAAAGCGACACCGTAAAAAGAAATCGTTATACGAAATTACGAACCAGTAAAGCTTGCATGCAGAAATGTCTTCGCTTTCATGTCTTTTTAAAGCAAATACTCTCATCTATAATCCTACAAAGTATAAGAACATTGCTTTACACATGCAAAATTTCGCTGGATCGAGATAATCGATAAATCTAACTACCGATCACACTTAGCCATGTACAGTGTCGAAATTATACAAAACGCATAAACATGTTAATGTGTGTGTGTGTGTGTGTGTGTGTGTGTGTGTGTGTG